AGCGCTTGCATCCACATATGCATTCAAACCGCACCATAGTTCACCTCAACAGATCTAAAACCTTGCTCTGAAGCAGACGATACTTCACCCTTTTGGTTCGCATCAGAGTTTGATTACACATTCATACCTCACCAAATGAACCAGACTTCCTAACAAATTATAGCTTGATTAAAGCAGATCAAACAGGGTTGATGTGAATGACCCAAAATGTCTAAGCAGCTCCATTTTGCTGTTATAAATGAAAATACGTTAAAGATTTGAAGTAAAAAAAAAAAAAATGGGCCTTTGCTCTCCACTAAAGAACAAGAAGTAAAACTGACATTGATCAGAATAAAGAGATTTTACAGGAAAATGACAGTTATTAAATAAGAATCAATAAGCAGAACAATAATCTATCTGCAGTCTCCAACACCTGATTCCAGCTGCACTCCACTGAGATTACTGGGGACCACACAGGTGTGTGTTCAGATACGCTCTCTCACTTGGACTTGCCCATGACAGACCCTGACCATTTGTAATGCGTTCAGAGCGCAACGGCTGACTGCCTGTCTTTGAAATTCAGCAGGAAGCAGCACCGGGATGGAGTGATTACACTTATTTAAATTAGTGTTTTGACTGAAGTCACCTGGCAGCTACAAACCCAGCTTGATTTCTCCATAAAACCTTGATTTTCAGAATTTAATTTCAAGAGAAAACTGTGTCCTTATGAGTTGCCCTCCATGGAGCTTTACTCCAATAAAAAGCGGAGTACAGCTTTCCTGCGGTTACGCTTCTCAGAGACACAAAAGTCCATTACTCAAGCTGAGCCTATAAGTTATCTTGAGCTTAAGCCCTCTTTCACTGAACAAGTCCAGCTACAATATTTAGTTCAATATGTGGCTGGTGACACTGTGCGAGTAAATGCTTTAAGGGGAAGAGCCCTACAGAGATTTAGATCCTCGCTACTGCAGGAACACGATGTAAAGAGAGGTATCAGACTGCACACCATCAGCTTTCTGTCCATTCCGCCAAGATGCACAAGATATTCCCGATTTAATCCAAAGGAGAACATGACGGTCGTGTAGGATTTTTTAAACTTGAGAAGTGGGTCAGTATAAATGAGCACCAGAGAGGACTCTTCGCCCAGTTTCACATGGAAAGAAAAGAGGAGATAAAAGAGCAGCAGGGGGTCAGCACTCCCATTAGCTTTGGCATCTTGTCAGAAACAGCAGAGAGAACACTGGTTTATCAGACACAATCCAGATTGTGCTCATACCTCTGACAAAAGGGGATCCATGGGTGGGTGTTGTAATCCTCCTACTCCAGACTTTTAGTTAATTATTTGTCATTTTATGCCTTTACTGATACAATTACTGTAGAAGGTGTTGAGGATTTACTTGTGCAACTATTGTGTGGAACTAGGTGCTACACTCAATGGGACTCGTGCAGGTTGTTTGGATGTTTATGAGGATGAGTGTTAAAATGCTGACAGCTTCAAAAATGGGTCAAAGGGCCCAGCAGGTTTCAGTTTGTTTTATTTTGAACTCAAAATGAAGGGAAAACACGAGAGACGACATGATTTGACATCAGCAAGTTCAGATATATGGATTAAGTTCTGACACCGTCTTGAAGATTTCACTTCAGAAGCTCTGATCTGGTACTCCCCGGACTGAAGCTTTCTCATTGCTTCAAACTGTTTGGACAGAACACGCTTATCTTCATATGAAAGTCTGAATGTGTAATTCTTGTGTAAATATTAAACAAGGTTTACCTTATTTGCCTTTCTGGAGTGCAGTGATTTAACGCGAGAAAGTTATGACCCTTCTCTCATTCAGTATTTGGACTAGCTGTCACTTCACTTGTGTTTTTTTTGTTTTGTTTTGTTTTTTGTGGAGAACTTTAAAATTAAACAATGCTGGGGCTTTTTTACATGACAAACTTGAACTTCACGCTCTGTCCAGCAGTAAAAAAAAAGTTGTAAATTCAGGGAGTTTAAGGGAAAACTTCAACTTCTTTCTGGAGAACTTCTTCAGCTGCAGGAAAGCCTGCAGCCAAATCTGTAGCAATCTGTTATTGAATGTAAACCTACTGATTTGCTTCCCTGTATCCCAACCATCAAAACATTTTGAAAAGTTGCATCAGGTATGGGTTGTGGGTTTGCATCTCAGGTCATCGCACAGGTCAGCACAGCCAAAAACCAGCACATACTTCTTTATGGTATGGCTCAATTTATGATTTGGTCAGCTGACTGACATGTTTAAAAAGAATAAAGGTTTTATCAAAGAAGATCACCAGTCTTAATTCTATTCTTTTATTCTCCAAATAAGGAAAATGCCTGAACTCAAAGCTAAACACCTATTATCCCCAAGAGTGCTTTCTGATTGGTCGTTCTTGGAGTGTACCAAATTTCTGCAATGTTTGCATGTCAACAGCTACAGATTATACAACATAACTAAATCAGTTATTCTACATAACTATCTGATCTTAAATACCTCATCTAAAGACAAGTTCATGCTGAGAAATTATTGGTTGTTTGAGTAAATATGTTGTTGCAAAACAAATGTAGGACAATTGTCAAGCATAGGAATAGGAAATTATGAATTTGTTTCAATGACTGCAGGTTTTTCCTGACAGTCTAATGGTGCTTTCACACCAGTCATGTTTAGTCTGCTACAATCAAGCTTGTGTTTGTTAGATTGGTTTGTTTTGGTGAGATGTGAATTCACAATCAAACTCTGATGCGGACCAAAAAACGCAAACTGTGGTCCATCTAACAACCTAGGTCTCAGTTTGGTTGAAGTGAATTCCGGAGAGGTTTGAATGCATCTGATCTGGAAACCACTCCAAAAGCGGCAAGTGAACTATTTCTCAGGGTATTCTGGGTAAATTCAAACCAAACACTCGAGTTAAGTCTAGTGCAAGAAAGAGAAGTGGCTTATCTTTTACCAAAGTCAAAAGATAAATTCTACAACTGCCAAAATTTGAGGGCATTCCATTTTTGTTTACATTTGTGAGGAGGAAGTTGAACGCAGTGTCTTCTTCAGAGGTTTTTATGATGTTCCCTCCAGTGTTTACTGGTGCAGTGCCGCCACAGCCAAAGCAGGGTACAGGTTTGTTTGAAACAGTGCAGTGAGAAAATACACCGCACCAACTGAGAATGCAACCATTTTGCACCCCAAGTGAACCGAGTCATCGGAGAATCAGATGTGAAAACACCCCAAATCTGAGGTCGAGCTCTTACAAACAAGCAACGTCAGACGTTCCCTGGGAAAATCCTGCACCATCTTCTCTGAATTTAGTCAATTTTGCTCAACCATGAGCAATTCCTCAGCTGCCTCCTTTTGCTCATTGCTCACTATATCTTCTCAACCGCCAATTCTAATAATGAGTACATGAAGGACCAAAACTTGGAGTACATTCATACTTATCTGTTGGCTCTGTCTGACATGATTCTGAAACTTCCATTGTACAGTGTAACATGAGTTCCTAGAAGGATTTTATCACATTGAGCTTGCACAGTGTGATATATTCAAGACCAGTAAGATTTTTGAACTCCTACGACGTGTGTCAGGCTTGTAGAACAAGTCTAGGACATCAAACAGGAAATATTTTATTGTTCATTTAAGGAACTCACAGCAAACATAAACCAATACTTTATATGTTTCAACGGCAAAAGCTTTAAACAAAGCAAAATAATCAAAAACTCTTCTGGTCAAACACATTTCACCATTTGGAAATACCAATCTGACATGTAGTTCAGACAAAAAAGACAAAAATTGAGCTCATCAGAAATTGGGTATTATCTTGTGAGCAGCTTTTTAATTATGGAGCCATTTGTTGTTTTCCCATTATGCATAAAACACTTTCTAGCAACCTGAACTTCACCTGCAGGTTTAGATGAAAAACTCATCTCATCCTTGTGCTGCACTGGATAATGATGTAATAGATAACTGTCCCTCCAGCCTGCCTGCCTCCTGACATGCAAGACTCTAGAGGCATTTTCCTCATTGTCTCCCTGCCTCTAATCCCAGTCACCTGTCTCTCTGAGATGCTGGAGGAAGGAAAAACGGACAGGATGTGCTTTTCTCACAGAGAGAAAACTCGATGCTGACTTGATGGGGGGTGGAGGGAGGTGTTGGGCTTAGGTGGCGAGAGGGTTTGGCTTTATTTGGAGTTATTGATGCCATCAATACAAGCAAATTCCACAAGTAAAATGGTTTCCGGGTTTAAGAAGGAAATTGGAAGTTTGATGGCACTCTCTCCCGGGAGAGAAGCAATTACACACAGCAATGAGAGCACAATTATCGGAAATGGGCTCATGAAAGAGACACAAAACAGTTCAGCAGTTTAAAATATGACAAAGGGCATTTCTTGTGGGTTTTGACAGTAAATAAACATTATTTCAACAGTTACTATGCTTTCCCCCTTTCAAGGTAAAAAAGAATATATATATATGCTTTCTTAGCGTTTTGTCTGCTCACTTTCTCCACAGAGTAAATCTGTCATTTAACGCGTAAACGGAATTCATGGCGCGATAAAAAAAAAAAAACGGCAAAAAAAAGTTCCCAGTAAGGTAGCCTGAATGCGCTTTTCTCCGAGATGAAATCCATTTGTAGAAATTAAGAGGAATCGCGTCAGAACCAGGCTGACACTCGTCGTAAATCGTTTCTGACAGCTCCTAATGGAGTGTTATTGCTGTCACGCACAGCGCGCAACCCCACCGGCTGTAGCCGGAGACACGGCGCTTTACGAGCGGTCTGCAGAAGTGAAAGGTCCGGGGAAAGCAGTGGGGAGAAATCTGGCGTTAACTCAAAGCAACACTGAGGTTTGAGGCGTAAAGAGGATCTACAACCTCAGTTCTGGACGGTTTACAAACTCCGGGACAAACATGCAAATAGCTCCACAGAAACAACACCAGAACCAGCTCAGCGCCTGGGTACGCAGTTGTCAGAACTACCCGAGCAAAGCACAGGAAGAGGCAAATGTGAAATGCAGACACAAGCTGTTGAGAAGAGACTTACCCTAGCAGTGTATCCACATCTGTTTGATGAGACTGGATGTTCGGAGCTCACACTTTGCTGCATTCAAATTTTTAATGAAGACGAACAGTAACTCTCCGCCGACTGCGGTGGCCACCAATCAAAATATTTCTTCCTACTTGATGTGCAATGTAACTATTTAGTTATGGCAAATGGTGCCTAATCTGTCCTGAGTGGCATTTCTCGCATGACTGACAGGGAGGCGCAGCCAATCAGCGCCAGCTGGCTGTGCCGCTTCGACCAATCGCGTTGTGAGCGTGGAGTCAGTGGAAGGTGAGCCGAGAAGTAGGAAGAGCTGCTGGCGACATCATGTGTTCGCAGTTTATATCCATCCGCTTGTCATGTTTTGAGAGCAAGGACTTCACTTTCGCTACTTCTTCTTCAGAAATTCGCAGGAAGCCAGAGTCAATGAAGCCCACTTGATTTATACAAACACCCCAACCACTGTGGGCTGCAGATATTTAGTCTGCACATCTGCATATAGGTCGCTTTACTGTTACATTTGCCAAATAAAGCAGATTGAGTGATAAAAATCACTAACACTGAATTCTGTTACGAAAATTTCTGCCATTATTATGTGCCTTCGCAGTTGTTACTTTTATACCCCACATGCTGTAAATAAGTGATACAATGTTAACGTCTAATTGCCAAAGTGTCCACTGTTATACGAAGTGAGAACGGGCGAGAGTCTGCTGTCCTATTTTCGCTGCTCGCGGCGGAAGAACACCGTGTTTACAGTGAGGAGTAACAGGGACGTCATTGTGACAGGCGCGTGTGACATCTTGAGAGTAGCAACACCTGGACGAAAGTGGCTCTTACTGGAGACCTAGAGTTTTCAGAAAACCTCAGCTAATATCTCCTTTTAACCGGTTTAGTATCTCTACTTTAAGCGGCATGTGTGTTATTTGTCTGCGTCACGTTACGTCAGAGTAGTAATGTTTGGCTTTGAAAGTAATAAGGCTTGATAAAGATCAGCTTTAAAAATTAAAATGTGTAAAAACAGTGCAGATACTTGAGAAATTAAAGCATCAAAATAAATCACTCTGTTTAAATTTTTTTCAATAGGGAAGATAAATGTAGAAATTAGGTGGGGGGGATGAAAAACTTAACATAAAAAGTTTTAAAAGTAATCTTAAAATCAACCTAAGGTTCCTCACAGAGCTAGATAACGTTTAAGTAGTTTTGTTTTGTTTTGTTTTGTTTTGTTTTTTTTATTCATGAAAAGCAATAAATAAAACATATATTAAGAAACACTTGTATTGAAAATGTAAAGGTACTAACATAATTAAAAAATAAAAAATAAGTACTCCATGAAAAACAATGTTTTTTAAATAATATTTCTTTGAAAACTTCTTTCACTGAGCTAAATTAATCTGAAATAATATTAAGGTAACAAGAACACATGTAAGACTAAAGTACAAAAAAATAATCAAATAAATTAAAAAATTTAAATATATAGTAAAATGTTAATAGGAAAATTATAAGA